CCGGTTTCCTGCTCCATGTCGAGTTGTTTTGGTGGGTTTTTGGCGAGGCGCTGGGGGGTTTGGAGCCGGGTTTGTGGCGCGTGGCTTCAGGAGGTCAAACAGGACTCAGAGTTGAACCTGGGCCAGACTCCGCCATGTTGGAGCTGTAGATCTGGGAGCGTCACACACACACCTGCAGCTCGGACAAACACCGCACACTTTAATACACAGCTTTAGTTTGGTTTGAGTTTTTGTTTGTTTTCACCTGTGATGTGTCGTTTATACTGAGACTACATGTCCCATAATCCTCTGCTCTGCTCTGCTCTCATGTGGTTTCCTGGAGTTATGTTTTGTTTCATTCACATGTTTAACTCACAAACCTGCACATTTAATATCAGATCGAAACATTTAAATCTGTCAGAAAAGGACTAAAAAGTGTTGAAATGATGTAACGATGATGCAAGATCATTTTAACGGACAAGTTCTCTTCAAATAAACGACTCCAGACGAGAACGAAACATCTCAGAGAAATGTTCAGTACAGGAGATGTAACAGACTCAGAATAAAGAGTCACTCAAACAAACACAACTCCAGCTCTGAGTGTGACCAGGAACAACAGAACAACATTAGAACATTAAACATTAGAACATTAGAACATTAAACATTAGAACATTAGAATATTAGAACATTAGAACATTAGAACATTAGAACATGCCTCCTACAGTTTTAAAAAGTTCCTCCTGTCACCTCTGTCCCTGCGTCTCCAGATCCAGACCCTCCAGGTTCTTCTCAGTCTCGGTTTACGTTCAGGTCTCGTGTGAAGCTCAGAGCCTCCAGACTCTGGTCCTGAGCTGCAGCGGCTGCACTAGCCCTGACTCCTGACAGGTGCAGGCGCTGGGCTCAGGGGGAGACGGTTCAGATCAGACACAGACATTTAGGTTTAAAGCCACTGGATCCAGCGTGAGGCTCGTTTGTCTGGAGAATCATCTGGAACAAAAACAACAAATCAGAACAGAAATAAATGAGACGTGTCCAGTGTTTTTGTGATTAAGAATAAATCAGTATTGGAACAGTTTTTAGTTCTATTTAAATCAAGTTTATAGAATTTTAAATCAAAATCTCACAGAGTTCTTTGAAACAGGAACAGAAACAATCCAAGAAGCTCGTCCGTTTCAGAACCTGTTTACAGAGCTTTGAGTTTTTAATAAAAATAATAAATATTGTTTTATTTACACTGGACATTTTATCTCCTACGCAGAAAAAACTGGAGGGTTAAAATTTCATGGTCAAATATATCAGAAAAAAAGTGTTATTTTAACTCTTTGAGAGTTAAATGTGTGTTGGAGTTATTTGCCAGAGTTGATTTGGTTGAAGTTAATTCTACTTCCCTTTGTGTTAATGTTCAGAATTTCATCTTAAATTAACTCAAATAAAGTGTGAAAATAAAACAGCTCTGTGTTGTTGAGTTAAATCAGGATAACTCTACAAAGTGTTATCTGTTTACTCTCTAAACCTTCATTTAACTCTGGGTTTGGGTTAAACAGGAACTTTGGTCCAGTTTTACTTCATGAACTTTTACACAAATGTTAAATTAACTCTAGAACAGAGTGACTCAGAGAAACTCTGAGAAAATGTTGACATTTATTCTGTGTAAATTTGAACTCTCCACTTGTTGACGTGTGTGAACAGTTTCAGACTTAAAGATTTGATAATTCTGCTTTTTCAAATTTCAATTTTTATTCTGAAATATCACAGCCCTGGTGCGTGTGGAAAACTCACTGTAGAGAATTTGTGTCAGATGCCCTCCCCGTGTGTCAGATTGTGTCAGATGCCACTTTTGTTCACACTGTCGATTGATTGATTGATTTATTATTATTGATGTTCTTTCCTCTGTGTGTGAGCAGCGAATCACATTTTATCAACGAGAAAGTGAATGTGACAAAAACACACATTTGTTTTGACTTTTGTGGAGAATAACTGGATTTTAATTTTCTGTTACTAAGATTTTCCTAATTATTATTTGTATTATTATTTTTAATTGCTGATGAACGTCGACATTCTTTGAGCTGCAGAAAATAAGTTTAAACATTTTAAACTTATTTCTGTGTTTGTGTTTGAAGCCAAAGACTCACCTAAACAAACTCTGCTGTTGTGCTCCTGGGCCAGACACTTTTCTTCTGTTCACACTGTGGCTGGTTCAGGAGGGAAGGGCATCTGCAATAAAATAAAATAAAATAAAATAAAAAATAAAAAGCTGAACTAGTTGACTGTGGCGCCCTCTGGTGAAAAATAAGAGAAAAGCAGATTTTAAAACGTGACTAAATAAAAATAAAATAAATCAAATATTACTTTATATTATAATCATAAATCTTCTCTAAAGTCTCTGATCTTTAAAATAAAATGACTGACCTTTTGAAAAACTGTAAACATGTAAAATGTTCTAAACTGTGGAGTGGAGGCAGCTGGAAATGAAAACTACTGTGACTTACAATTGTGTTTTACATTATTTGTTTGTTTGAGACGAGATTATCAGAAACACTGAACATTTGTACAAAAACAAAATCAATATTTTGAGGTTTTACTGGACAAATCCTCAACTCACAACAGTTTTTCACTTCACCTACAGATATATTACACATTTCATCATAAATTATACTTTGTAAATCCCAAATACTATTTTAGGGTTAGAAAACTGTATTTTTTTTTTTTTTCATCCTTCTGAACAGAGAAGCAAAGTAAATAAGATTTGTACCTTGGAAATTCTAAATTGTTGCTTATTTTTTGTTATAATGTCATAAAATCATTAGCATTTAATCATTGTAAATATATTTTGTTAGCTTCATTTTGCCTCCACTTGCTCCATTTCAGATTTTTAAACATTCCGATGACATAAGATCTGAAAAGTTTCTATTTGTCACCGACTGTGAACTGCAAACACCTTTAATTTATTACATTTGTTTGTAATTTACATGGCTCATGTCCGAACTCTTATTTACTCATTTACTTGACTAATTAACATTACCAATGTGTTTGTATTATAACATTTGCAAAAAATAAAATAAATAAAATAAAAATAGCGTAATGACGTCACGCAGAACAGTGACCAGTTAAAACTAATTTTATCATCATACATTTTTATAGTTTATAGTTTTATATACTAGCAGCAGATTAATCCATGACTAAATAAATACAATATATTTAGAGAGAAAAATAAAAAAAATAATAAAAAGTTTAATGACGTCATTCGGAACGGTCGATTCTAAATTTATAATCAGTAAATTCCACTTTAATAGTTTAGTTTTAATATTAGCAGCAGATTAATCCATGACTAAATAAATACTGTATATTTTATTATAGTTATTTTAGTTTTATGTTTCATTTTATTGTGTTAAACTTTTTCCCGCGGCTCGTAAAATGGCGCAGGTGAAAATCATCAGTTTAATCCACAGGTCCAACAAAACACACAAAAAACACACAAAAAACTCACAAAACCAGCGATTAAACCACAGCAAACCCGACACACAACACTCAGACTGAAGAGCACCGACCTGCGCTTTCACCCGGAGAGTCTCAAGTAGGAATTTTTATCTTTAACGCGGAGATATTTAAATGAAAGTCCGATCTGCGCCGCGGTTAGCACCAGGCTAATGCTAATGCTAATGCTAATGCTAATGCTAATGCTAATGCTAATGCTAAGCTGCAGTTTGTTGCGGGGCTAAAAACAAAGTCGGTTCTAAACTTTAATATAAATAATTTTCTTTGGTTTAGTACGACGGAGTATATGGGTCAGATTAAAAAAAAAATATGCTGGCGCCATGAGAATAAAATCATAATTTTACAGGAATAAAGTCGTAATAAAATCAAAGTCAAAGTGAAAAATGCGGCAGAAGAAGAACCTTGTTTTTCAATATAAAACCAAAAATAAGAAAAATCAACTACAATTTTCTTCGTTTGTGCCTCCGGACTGAACCAGGACTGAACCAGGACTGAACCAGGTCTAAACCAGGTCCGAGACCAGACCGGGACTGAGACCAGGACTTAGACAAGGACTGAGTCAGGGACCAAGACTGAGACCCGGACCGAGACTGGGACTGAGGCCGGGACCAGACCAGGACTGAAAACGGTTCAGTCCCGGTTCAGTCCCGGTTCAGTCCCGGTTCAGTCCCGGTTCAGTCCCGGTTCAGTCCCGGTTCAGTCCCGGTTCAGTCCTGCATTGCATTTTAAAGTCACAGAAACGTCATTTCCGTGACTTAAACCAGGACTAAACTAGGACTAAACCGTTTTCAGTCCTGGTCTGGTCCCGGTCTCAGTCCTGGTCTTTCTGGTTTGGTTCTGGACCTGGTTTAGTCCTGATTCAGTCCTGGTTCAGTCGAATGAACGAATGATACACAGATTCTTCTCTTTTACAAAATGCTCCAGATTCTCCACGAGCCGCTGATGTTCTCCTGATATTAACACTTTATTTTGACACAACTTTATTCTCATAATATTATGACTTTAATGTGGAAATGTTACGACTTTATTCTGGTAGCGCCAGCATGTTTTTTTTGTTTTTTATCTGACCTTTATACTAGTTTAAAACAGTTTTAACTCGCAGTGTAAACAGATACTTTAAGCCGGAGTTTAAAGTAGGATTATTATCTTAACTCTGAGATATTTAAATAAAAGTCACATTTGTGCCACACTTAGCATCAGGAAAACTCTGCTCACCTGTAGTTTGACGCAGGGATAATACTTAATATAAAGTTTAATATAAGTGATTTTCTTTGGTTTAGAGCAGTTATTTCAATTTATTGTGTAACAGAATATTTGAACCTGGAGAGTTTGAAGTTAGATTTAAATATCTCAGAGTTAAATCTTAAAATTAAAGCCTCATTTGGAACATTTAATTGAACTCAAACTGTAGATGAAATAAAAACGTGAGGAACTTGTTTTAGTTTTTGGTGGAGCAGTGTCTGAGGTGAACTTTGTGTTTGCTTTTACAGCCGAGTGTTTGATTATAAATCCTCGTCCTGTTTTAATTTTATTGTCTTTTTTTATGAGGACAAAAATGACCTTTGACCTTTTTATATGGTTGTGATTTGACCTTTGTCTCCCGGCAGATGTTGCGGTTGGTGTCCGGGCGCGTCGGCGGCCTCCTGGCGAAGCGCGCGACCCCCGCGGTGTGTACGAACACGAGCGGCGTCAGGACCGCGCACCACGGACACGGTGAGGACGCAGGGACGCAGAGGGACTGAAGGACGGGGACGCAGAGGGACACTGAAGGACGGGGACGCAGAGAGACAGAAGGACGGGGACGCAGAGGGACAGAAGGACGGGGACGCAGAGGGACACTGAAGGAGAGGGAGGACGGGACGCAGAGAGGACAGAGAGGAGGGACGGGGACAGGACAGGAGGGACAGAGGACAGGACGGGGACGACAGAGGGACAGAAGGACGGGGACGCAGAGGGACAGAAGGACGGGGACGCAGAGGGACAGAAGGACGGGGACGCAGAGAGACAGAAGGACGGGGACGCAGAGGGACGCAGAGGGACACTGAAGGACGGGGACGACAGAGGAGACACTGAAGGACGGGGACAGAAGGACGGGGACGCAGAGGGACAGAGAGGACAGGGGACGACGGGGACGAGAGGGACAGAAGGACGGGGACGCAGAGGGACAGAACGGGGACGGGGACGGACGGGGACAGGGGAGAGAGGGACACTGAAGGACGGGGACGCAGAGGGACACTGAAGGACGGGGACGCAGAGGGACACTGAAGGACGGGGACGCAGAGAGACGGAGACAGAAGGATGGGCGGGGATGGGGACAGAGAGATAGGCGGACGGGGATGGACGGGGACGCTGAGAGACAAAAGGACGGGGATGGATGGGGACACGGAGACAGAGAGAGGGAGACGGGAACGCAGAGAGGGACACAGAGACGGGTGGAAAGGGGACACTGGCTCTGTGTCTTCAGCTCCAGACGTGTCTCTGTGTCTCGTGTCTCTGTGTCTCTGTGTCTCTGTGTCTCGTGTCTCTGTGTCTGTGTCTCGTGTCTCTGTGTCATGTGTCTCTGTGTCTCTGTGTCTCTGTGTCTCTGTGTCTCTGTGTCTCGTGTCTCTGTGTCTCGTGTCTCTGTGTCTCTGTGTCTCTGTGTCTCTGTGTCTGTGTCTCGTGTCTGTGTCTCTGTGTCTCGTGTCTCTGTGTCTCGTCTCTGTGTCATGTGTCTCGTGTCTCTGTGTCTGTGTCTCGTGTCTCTGTGTCTCTGTGTCTGTGTCTCTGTGTCTCGTGTCTGTGTCTCTGTGTCTCTGTGTCTCTGTGTCTCTGTGTCTCTGTGTCTCTGTGTCTCTGTGTCTCTCTGTGTCTCTGTGTCTCTGTGTCTCTGTGTCTGTGTCTCTGTGTCTCTGTGTCTCTCTGTGTCTCTGTGTCTGTGTCTGTGTCTCTGTGTCTCTGTGTCTCTGTGTCTTCGTGTCTCTGTGTCTCTGTGTCTCTGTGTCTCTGTGTCTCTGTGTCTCTGTGTCTCTGTGTCTCTGTGTCTCTGTGTCTGTGTCTCTGTGTCTCTGTGTCTCTGTGTCTGTGTCTCTGTGTCTGTGTCTCTGTGTCTCTGTGTCTCTGTGTCTCGTGTCTCTGTGTCTCTCGTGTCTCTGTGTCTCTGTGTCTCTGTGTCTCTGTGTCTCTGTGTCTCTGTGTCTCTGTGTCTCTGTGTCTCTGTGTCTCTGTGTCTCTGTGTCTCTGTGTCTCTGTGTCTCTGTGTCTCTGTGTCTCTGTGTCTCTGTGTCTCTGTGTCTCTGTGTCTCTGTGTCTCTGTGTCTCTGTGTCTCTGTGTCTCTCTGTGTCTCTGTGTCTCTCTGTGTCTCTGTGTCTCTGTGTCTCTGTGTGTCTCTGTGTCTCTGTGTCTGTGTCTCTGTGTCTCGTGTCTCTCTGTGTCTCTGTGTCTCTGTGTCTGTGTCTCTGTGTCTGTGTCTCTGTGTCTCTGTGTCTCTCTGTGTCTCTGTGTCTCTGTCTCTCGTGTCTCTGTGTCTCGTGTCTCTGTGTCTCATGTCTCTGTGTCTGTGTCTTCAGCTCCAGACGTGTCTCAGGTGGCGGACATGTCCAAGCCGTTGTACTGGAACAGGAGGGACGTCCCTCTGCCCGATCGTCCCTTCAGACTGGAGCTGAACGCAGGAGACAAAAGTCTGAAGGAGAAAGAGAAAGGCTCCTGGAAACAGCTGAGCAACGAGGAAAAGATCGCACGTAAGGAACACGCTTTTATGATGATTATTATTATTATTATTATTATTATTATTATTATTATTGTTATTATTATTGTTGTTGTTGTTTTATGTTCGGTGAGACCAGGTGCACTACATGTCCCATAATCCTCTGCTCTGTTCTGCTGTTTCCTGGAGTTGTGTTAAATGTGAATGAAACAAAACACGAGTTCTTCTTAGACTGAAAACACTCTGTTCCACCTCGTGATGTCATCGTGTGGTGATACAGGAAGTGCTCCACTGTGTTTTTAAACTCCACACTTCACCTTCACTAGAATCATCTGGAACATTTCAGTTCTGGAGACGTTGATCTGGACTGAACTAAAGACAAAATGTTCACTTGATGACATCACCAGGTGGATCAGAGCGTTTGGAGTTTTGTAGATGTAACAGACTCAGAATAAACAAACAAACACGAGAACAACACAACAGAACAACGCAAGAACAACAGAACATGGGTTAAATCTGTTTGTGCTTCAGGAGCTTTTAGAAACATTTAGTCGAGCCGTCAGAAAAAACAACAAATGTGTGTTTTGAGTTTTTATTCAAGTGAAATGTTGGTGTACGTCCAGAGTCGTCGTGTCCAGCTCCACACTCAGACCAGAGTCTCTGTTCTCTACATAAACTCTTCTACAGTTTCTTCACACACACACGGGCAGATTTTGGTGTTTTGATTCTAAACTGATCAGATCTGGGCTCTAATGTTCTTCTGTTTTTATTACTTCATCAAATATTTTTGAACTTAGTTTCTGCAGCTGATGGAGATTTGAAACTGTTACTGTAGTCAGTAAAACGTGTGGGATTTTCCTGTGTTCAACTGTTACTGTGACTCCAGCAGCTCCACTAAAACTGAACAGGGCGGAGTCTGCAGTGGCTCGGTTTGTTGGTGCGGTTGTGTCCTTGAGCAAGACACTTAACCCTCCTCACCCCCAGTGTCTCTTTAAACCAACAAACTGTTCACTCAAACATTTGTCCAGTGACACAAACAAATGTTTTTTACCTGGACATTAAAATATGAAGTGAAACACCCGACCCGTCCACCAGAGGGCGCCTCGCCCCGACCCGTCCACCAGAGGGCGCCTCGCCCCGACCCGTCCACCAGAGGGCGCCTCGCCCCGACCCGTCCACCAGAGGGCGCCTCGCCCCCCCCCGTCTCCCCGGGCGACTCTTCACCTGAAGCTGCTGTTTCACTTTTTATGGCTGGACTTTGGACTTTAACTCGTTATATTTCTCAAGCACCGAGTTTGTCTAAAATTATTTTTATGACCAGAGACAAAATGATTAAAAACACCTCCTCCTCTTTCTCCTCTTTCTTCTCTTTCTCCTCTTTCCTCTTTCTCCAGTGTATCGTATTTCGTTCGATCAGACGTTCGCAGAGATGAAGCGTCCTTCGGCTGAGTGGAAGACGGTTCTTGGAGGAGTCTTCATCTTCTTGGGCTTCACGGGGCTGGTCGTCTGGTGGCAGAGGATCTACGGTCAGTTTCTGCTTCACATTTAAACATTTAAAACTCAAAATGAAAATGTTCAACTTTGGTCCAAACTCTGAGTCTCAGATTCAGACGCTCGTCTCCAAACACTTGAGACACAGAAGTCACGTCTCCATGGAGACGAGCAGGTGTCAAACCCTCAAACTGAGGCTCTGAAATCAAACAAACAAACACATTGAATCACTGACAGCTTCTTTTAGTTCTGGTTTTATCAGCACATTTATTTTAGTTTGATAGATTTTTCTAAACTTCAGTTTCAGTCTGAGATGTTCAGGCGCCAGGTCCAGCCAGGTCCAGCCAGGTCCAGTCCAGGTCCAGTCAGGTCCAGTCAGGTCCAGTCAGGTCCAGTCAGGTCCAGTCAGGTCCAGTTTACTCTTGATATAAAACAGGAGGATAAACTTTAGACTAAAGTGTAAAAGGTGTTTTTATATTTGAGTCTGTGTCTCTGATTCTGTCGTTTCTCTTCTTCTTGGTCTTGAGGTGGTGATGTTCTAACAGGAGCTTCAGGTCGTGTTAAAACATCTTCACCTCGACTTTACACATTAAAAGTCTTTATAGAACCTTTAAGGTGTTAGTTTTTTTTCTCACTGCTCCTTCAGCAGCATCAGACTCTTGTGTAAATGTTTCCTCAGCCTTTAAATGGAAACACACAGGAGACTTGACTTTGTGAAACGAGGGACACAAACAGAAAACCTTTTCATGATATTCAGCTTTAGGTTTTAGTGTGTGTGTGTGTGTGTGTGTGTGTGTGTTTCATCCTGTTTCCTCGTCTCTGTTCTGCTCCGTCTTTAATCATCTACAGGATGAGTCTGTGTCGTCTCCTGTTTCTGTTTTAAATCACATTTGTGTTTGTTTTTTTAGTTTTAATCTGGTTTGTGTTTGTGGTCCTCAGTTTACCCTCCGGCCCCTCGCACCTTTGAGCCCGAGTGGCAGCAGCAGCAGGTGCAGAGGATGTTGGACATGAGGGTCAGTCCCGTCCAGGGTTTCTCCGCTAAATGGGACTACGAGAAGAAGCAGTGGAAGTGACCTGAGCCGGGGTCGGAGGTCAGGGGGCAGCTCCGGGGGTCAGGGGTCAGTCCTGTTCTAAACCTTGTGTAAAAATTAAACCTGTTCTGTGCCGCTTTAATAAACCGTCCTCTCTGAGTCCTGCCTGAGTTTTTCTCCTGAGTCCAGCAGGGGGCGCTGAGCTGCTCTGAAGTTTCAGACAAAACCTGAAACTGTCTGTACAAAAGAGGAAAGTTCTCCTGAGATCTCGTCCCTGCACAAAAGAAACTCAATGTTGGGATGAGTTTTGTCCAAGTTTTTTTTTTTCCTTTTATATTTTACTTTAGAGGAAAAAAAGTGTTTAAATTTGGTGTAACAGATTCTCAAGACGAGTTCCTCACAGCAAAACTGGAAAATTAAATTAAAGCAACAGAAACATTCACAATTTTTGCTTTTATCAAATATTTTAAAATCTCATCTCGTCCCACACGGTAAAAAACAAAATCTAGTTTTAAACTTTGATCATGATTTGAGTCAATTTCACTTAAAATTATTTACAAACAGAGTTTTTGAACGTAAAATATGAAAATATATTTTTCTACATTTCAAATAAGAAACAAAATGTCAAAACTCTTTTGAGTAGATTCATCTGGACAAGTCAAACATTTTTAATTAAATAATATAGTTTTTCCCCTGAGCATCGCTGCGTCTGAAATCACCATGACGACCCGACGTGACCCGACTGTCTCAAACTCGGGTCACAATAAAACCTGAGTGTTTTTACAGGTTCTGGAGTAAAAGTGTGAACTGGAGCCTGGTCACACAAATATTCTACTGTTGCATGTTCTGCCTCTGCCTGAGGGATTTTCAAAATAAAACTGGGACGTCCACGTTTCTGTGGAAGTTGGTAAAAATAAAATATTGAAACGAGTCGTAGTTAAGGAGAATTATTCTGCAGAGACGAACGTGAGTCTGTGTCGTCACTTTTTCAGTTTTTTTAACTAAAACAATCAGTTTGTCCAACAGACAGACGTGTTTGAGTGTGTGTCTGTGTGTAGAGTTTGTGTGTGTGTGTAGAGTGTGTGTGTGTAGAGTGTGTGTGTGTGTGTGTGTGTGTGTGTGTGTGTGTGTGTGTAGAGTAGAGTGTGTGTGTGTGTGTTTGTGTGTGTGTGTAGAGTGTGTGTGTGTGTGTGTGTGTAGAGTGTGTGTCTGGACTCGTGCACATGATCATTTATTTAAACATGTGCTTCATTTAAAACACAGGCACAATAAATAAAGCACAAACACGGGTTATTTTAGTTGTGTTTTAATGTTCGAGAGACTCAGAGTCTCTGAGTCTCTGAGCGTCTGAGTGTTTGAGTCTCTCGCTCCGACAGCAGAAATCCAAAAGTTTCATCTTAAATATGTGACTAAACTAAGGTGCTAAACTAACCGTTTAAATTACTACATTTATTTATAAAAACTGAAAAACTCAATCCACACGAGATGAAACTTGTTCTACTGTCAAACTCAGAATAAAGAGTTAAACAACTCCATCTGTCTCCAGATGCTCTGCTCCACCTTGTGATGTCATCAAGTGCTCAGCTCCTTTTGAGCTCAGAGCAGATCTGAAATGTTCCAGGTGATTCTAGTGAAGGTGAAGTGTGGAGTTTAAAAACACAGTGGAGCACTTCCTGTATCACCACACGATGACATCACCAGGTGGAACAGTGTTTTCAGTTTGTGAAACTCAACACGAGAGCAAAGGATGATGGGAAATTTAAAAAGGTCTGAATCATGATTTTAAAGAGTTTTTCACTTTTCTGTTTTTTATTTGAACCAAAACAAAAAAATAAAAATCAGAAAAAAAAAATATTTTATTTGATTCAATTTTTTAAAAAACAAGAATTTGGACTTGGACTTTGTTTCGACTCATGTGGATGAAGTTTTTACAAAACATCTCACTGCCTCACGTGCACACTCAAACGTGCACGCTCCTGCCCCTCGTGCACACTCAAACGTGCACGCTCCTGCCCTCGTGCACGCTCCTCCCCTCGTGCACGCTCCTGCCCCTCGTGCACACTCAAACGTGCACGCTCCTGCCCCTCGTGCACGCTCCTGCCCCTCGTGCACGCTCCTGCGGGGGGGGGGGGGGGCAGGTTCCTGCAGCAGCGTCGAACAAAACGATTTACAAAAATAGATTCACTGGATTCTGGAATGTCGAAGGAACATCACATCTCCTCTTCCTCCTCCTCCTCCTCCTCCTCCTCTTCCTCTTCCTCTTCCTCTTCTTCTCCTCCTCCAGGTCCCAAAGCTCGTCTAGATCCGTCTCCTTCAGGTGAGTGACAGGTGCCTCCTTCTCTTCTCTCCCACCCCAGTGTTTCCCTCTTTTCTTTTTCTCCCTCTCTTCAGTCTAAACGTGAGTGACAGGTGAGTGACAGGTGAGTGACAGGTGAGTGACAGGTGAGTGACAGGTGAATGACAGGTGAGTGACAGGTGAGTGACAAAGAAACTGAACTAAAACATGATTCACTGGACGAAGCAGCTGTGAGAGAAAAAGGGAGGGAGGAAAACAGTAAAGAGCGAAGGAGAAGAGGAGAGATGGAGTGAAGAGGAAGAGAACGAAGGGAAGAAAGAGAAAGAAAGAGAGAGAGAGAGAGGGTCTGAAGTGAGTGATGAGAAAAGAGGAGAGACGGACGAGACGTGTCACCGATTCACTGTAAAACACCAGATGGACGAAGACGATGAAGACGAGACACTTTATTCAGACAGGTGCAGTGACAGGTGCAGTGACAGGTGCAGTGACAGGTGCAGTGACAGGTGCAGTGACAGGTGCAGTGACAGGTGCTTTCATAGTGACCTGCAGCTGTGACGTCTGTAAAACTAAACCCCGTGAACACGTGTGTTTGTGTAAACTGTTGTGTCCGTGCGCCTCCTGCTGGCGACGCCGCAGACGCCAACACGACCATCAGAAGAAGAAGAAGAAGAAGAAGAACATCTGGACCAACCAGAACATCTGGACCAACCAGAACATCTGGACCAACCAGAACATCTGGACCAACCAGAACATCTGGACCAACCAGAACATCTGGACCGTCGAAGCTTCACACGTTTAAAATAATTTAAGAGATTTTCCATCAGAATCTTTCATTTTCAGGAAACAAATTTCAGTCCAAAGAAACAGAAGAAAAGAAAGAAAGAGTCCAGAATCAGGAGCAGCTCGGGTCCGGGTCTGGACCGGGTCTGGACCGGGTCTGGACCGGGTCTGGACCGGGTCTGGACCGGGTCTCTCTCTCTCTCACAGGCGTCTCTGGGCGAGCAGTGACCCCACCACGACCCCGGTGACCAGCGTCATCCCGGCGAAGAGCCACTTCTTAAAACGCTCCTCAGATCGACGAGTCTGAGCCGCCGCGTCGTCGCCGTAGATCTGAGCGAAACGAGCCTGGACCAGAAACACCACAAACACCACAGGGTTACACCACATGACATCACCAGGTGGACCTGAGGGTTCACATCAAGTATTTGTACTGTACAGGGCGTGTACTTGTACTTGTACTTGTACTTGTACTTGTACTTGTACTTGTACTTTGTGCTGTGACTCTCCTGAACCCCAAAAGGAAAAAGTCCCAAAGATTCAACACATTTAAACAAATAAACCAGGTCTAGTCCAGGTCTAGTCCAGGTCTAGTCCAGGTCTAGTCCAGGTCTAGTCCAGGTCTAGTCCAGGTCTAGTCCAGGACTGAATCAGTGCACAAGACAAAGTGCTTTTTATTTCATGTGAACTTTCTGTTCTATTCCCATGTGTGTAAATCCTGGTCCAATCCTGGTCCGGTCCTGGTCCGGTCCTGGTCCGGTCCTGGTCCGGTCCTGGTCCGGTCCTGGTCCGGTCCTGGTCCTGGTCACATGTTCTGATGACTAAAGTTCTATGATGGAACATGCGACACAAACACGAGTCATTTCTACAGAAGCTCCGCCCCCTTCACTTCCTGGAACTGAGTCACACAAAGAAACACGAGAACTAAACCAGGACTAAACCAGGACTAAACCAGGACTAAACCAGGACTAAACCAGGACCAGGTCTAAACCAGGACTAAACCAGGTCTAAACCAGGTCTACTAAACCAGGACTAAACCAGGACTAAACCAGGTCTAAACCAGGTCTAAACCAGGACTAAACCAGGACTAAACCAGGTCTAAACCAGGACTAAACCAGGTCTAAACCAGGTCTAAACCAGGTCTAAAACCAGGTCTAAACCAGGACTAAACCAGGACTAAAACCAGGTCTAAACCAGGTCTAAACCAGGACTAAACCAGGACTAAACCAGGACTCTAAACCAGGACTAAACCAGGACTAAACCAGGTCTAAACCAGGACTAAACCAGGTCTAAACCAGGTACAAACCAGGTCTAAACCAGGACTAAACCAGGACTAAACCAGGTCTAAACCAGGTCTAAACCAGGACTAAACCAGGTCTAAACCAGGTCTAAACCAGGTCTAAACCAGGACTAAACCAGGTCTAAACCAGGTCTAAACCAGGACTAAAACCAGGTCTAAACCAGGTACTAAACCAGGACTAAACCAGGTCTAAACCAGGACTAAACCAGGTCTAAACCAGGTCTAAACCAGGACTAAACCAGGTCTGACTCTCAGGTTTAAATCTCATTTTCTTGACTCCTCGTTCATCAGACGCTGTTGCTCCAGAGTTACACCAGAAACAAAACACACACACACACACACACACACACACACACACACACACACACACACACACACACACACACACACACACACACACACACACACACACACACACACACAACACACACACACACACACACACACACACACACACACACACAAACTGAGACTGAACACAAGAATCAGGTGGGATTATATATATGATATACTGTGTGTGTGTTTGTGTGTATGTGTGTGTGTGTGTGTGTGTGTGTGTGTGTGTGTGTGTGTGTGTGTAATGTGTGTGTGTGTGTATGTGTGTATGTGTCAGAATCTGAACTTTGATTCACATAAATAAAATAAAAATAAATTAAATCTGACGTTTGGCTCGTTTGTGTTTCGTTTACATTTAAACATGTGACTCTTCAGTCTCTGGTATCGGTTTGTATCGAGCGTCCGCAGATACTTCAGTCCATGGTATCGGTATCGGTATCGGACCTGACGCGGCCGGATCGGTGCCTCTGAGTAAACGACGTTTGTTTGGCTGAAGCTCCAGAGTCACGTGACGTCCAGACGCTTTAATTTAGCCTCTGATTTAATGGAGCTCGTTAAGTCGCACATTTGCATAAATCACGCCTCATTTGCATAAATCACGCCTCATTTGCATACGACTGTAAATATGGGGCATAAAAACGACGTTTACCTGGAGACTTTAAAAACACAGAGGAGCTCCACCTGATGATGTCACAGGGTGGAACTAATCATCCACAGTTAGCCCCGCCCACATCACTCACTTAGCCCCGCCCCCGCCGCTCACAAAGGCGCTGTTCAAAGCAGAAAAACTTCTGGGGCTCAGACTTTTGTGTGTTTGTGTTTTTTGTGTTGTTTTGTGTTTTTTGTGTGTTTGTGTTTTTTGTGTTTTTTGTGTTGTTTTGTGTTTTTTGTGTTTTTTGTGTGTTTGTGTTGTTGTTGTGGTTCACTCGGGTCTGTCCCTCTGTAAACACTGCCTTTGTGCCTTTGAGCCTCACACACACACACACACACACACACCGAGTCATGTGACCAGAGCTTCAAGCAGAAACTCAGTTTATCTGGACAGAAAAAAACTTGGACTCAAAATAAACTCAGACGCCCTTCCAGAAAAATCTCTAAACACCGCAGTCACACGACCAGACTCGCACGACCAGACTCGCACAACCAGACGACCAGACTCGCACAACCAGACGACCAGACTCACACGACCAGACTCGCACGACCAGACTGACAGTAGCAGACTGACAGGACCAGACTCGCACGACCAGACTCGCACGACCAGACTGACAGGACCAGACTCGCACGACCAGACGACCAGACTCGCACGACCAGACGACCAGACTCGCACGACCACACTCGCACGACCAGACTCGCACGACCAGACTGACAGGACCAGACTGACAGGAGCAGACTGACAGGAGCAGACTCACACGACCAGACTGACAGGACCAGACTCACACGACCAGACTGACAGGACCACTCACACGACCAGACTGACAGGACCAGACTCACACGACCAGACTGACAGGAGCAGACTGACAGGAGACGAGTTTGGTTTGAAAGTTTTAAAACATTTAATATTAAAAAAATAAAAACGAGAGAAAAGAGAAAAGAGAAAAGGAGAAAGAGAAAAGAGAACGAGAGGATGAAAACAAACGACAAAAATCAATCAGAGCAAAAGGACAGAGGAGAGAGAGAGAGAGAGAGAGAGAGAGAGAGAGAGAGAGAGAGAGAGAGAGAGAGAGAGAGAGAGAGAGAGAGAGAGAGAGAGAGAGAGAGAGAGAGAGAGAGAGAGAGAGAGAGAGAGAGAGAGAGAGAGAGAGAGAGAGAGAGAGAGAGAGAGAGAGAGAGAGAGAGAGAGAGAGAAGAGAGAGAGAGAGAGAGAGAGAGAGAGAGAGAGAGAGAGAGAGAGAGAGAGAGAGAGAGAGAGAGAGAGAGAGAGAGAGAGAGAGAGAGAGAGAGAGAGAGAGAGAGAGAGAGAGAGAGAGAGAGAGAGAGAGAGAGAGAGAGAGAGAGAGAGAGAGAGAGAGAGAGAGAGAGAGAGAGAGAGAGAGAGAGAGAGAGAGAGAGAGAGAGAGAGAGAGAGAGAGAGAGAGAGAGAGAGAGAGAGAGAGAGAGAGAGAGAGAGAGAGAGAGAGAGAGAGAGAGAGAGAGAGAGAGAGAGAGAGAGAGAGAGAGAGAGAGAGAGAGAGAGAGAGAGGAGAGAGAGAGAGAGAGAGAGAGAGAGAGAGAGAGAGAGAGAGAGAGAGAGAGAAGAGAGAGAGAGAGAGAGAGAGAGAGAGAGAGAGAGAGAGAGAGAGAGAGAGAGAGAGAGAGAGAGAGAGAGAGAGAGAGAGAGAGAGAGAGGAGAGAGAGAAGGAGAGAGAGAGGAGAGAGAGAAGGAGAGAGAGAGAGAGAGGTGTGTGCATGAACATAAAAGAGGGATGAGAGAGAGAGATAAAGAAGAGATGAAGAGAGAGAGAGAGATAAAGGGATGGAGAGAACAATGAAAGATGCATAAACAGGCAAAGGAACAAAAATCAATCGTGGACAGAGGATGGAGAGATGAAGGAGGGAGATAAAGAGGAGAGGGAGGGAGGGGTGATGGAGGGATGACGGAGGAGTGAAGGTCTCTGGGGTCAGATTTGCTGCTTTAAGGTGAGAGAACGAGTGACTGAAGGAGAAGAAAAGAAATGACACCAAGAGAAAGAGAGAAAGAAAGAGAGAAAGAGAGAAAGAGAGAAAGAGAAGTGGAGGAGGAGGAGGTCAGACTTTATTCATCATTAACTGGAAAAAGAAAAATAACATCACTCCCCCAAAACAGACCAAGTCTAGACCTGGTTTAGACCTGGTTTAGTTCTGGTTTAGACCTGGTTTAGACCTGGTTTAGTTCTGGTTTAGACCTGGTTTAGACCTGGTTTAGTTCTGGTTTAGTCCTGGTTTAGACCTGGTTTAGTTCTGGTTTAGACCTGGTTTAGACCTGGTTTAGTTCTGGTTTAGACCTGGTTTAGACCTGGTTTAGTTCTGGTTTAGACCTGGTTTAGACCTGGTTTAGTTCTGGTTTAGACCTGGTTTAGACCTGGTTTAGTTCTGGTTTAGTCCTGGTTTAGACCTGGTTTAGTTCTGGTTTAGTCCTGGTTTAGTTCTGTTT